GTATTTTTAATGTACTAATTATGTAAGAAAATCTATATTTGTATAATAGAATAGTTTTCTTATGAGTAAATAGACTAAGAGAAGTAGGTATTTATATAGGTAAGAAGAGTCTGTTGCAATTAGCATCTCTCTCTATACATACTGCACATTAACCACATTTACATAACAACTCTAAAAACAGATCACACTACAATGGGTGTGGTTCTCTCAACTCTCCAGGATTTAATCAAAATCTGTACTGCAACAGCCTCTCTCCTGAAAGCGCTGTCGACCGAATTCAGCCAAGCTTTAAAGCGTGCATCGCAATCTCCGGGCCTTCCTAACCCCAACCCAACCCAAACCTACTGGCTCAATGATCCTCCATATCCTGAACTTATTAATGCAAGCTCACCCAGCTTACCACAAACCGTAGATGTGGCAATCATAGGCTCTGGAATCGCTGGAGCATCCGTGGCACGGTCATTACTCTACGAGCGACGTCGTAGCAACACCAGTCCGGATGAAGAGATAGTTGTTCTCGAGGCTCGGCAGTTGTGCAGCGGTGCCACCGCTCGGAATGGCGGCCATATCAAACCTTCACCATACGAATCCTTTTCCCTGCTCAGCAAACTATTTTCAAAAGACCGTGCTGCCGCCTTGGTGCGCTTTCAATCTCTACATGTTGATTGTTTGACTGGAATATGTGAAGGCGAAGGTATTGAGGCTGCCCAGGCTCGAAAGGTCGAAACAGCCGACTTCTTTCTGGACAGCAAAAGCTTCTCCAAGGCCATCGCTGATTCTTGGGCGTTGAACCAATGGCTACCAGAGATTGAGATCGCCGTGTGGAACGGGGATGAAGCTCAGAAGGTTTGCACGGTTGCCAATTGAACAAAGGAAGACTAAAAACTGACATCAGTAGAGATTTGGTGTCAACGAAAGCGTCATCGGTGCTTTATCTTACAAAGCAGGTGCTATCTGGCCTTACCGGTTTGTTATGTCCATCTGGAATAGCCTACTGAAAGAGTTCCCTCATCTGTCTGTGGAAACAAACACTCCCGTGGAATCCATCAGCGTTCCAGGAGACGCCCCAGCAGGCTTCCCATATGCTTTGAAAACTCCACGAGGAACCCTTTTTGTTCGGAAAGTAGTTCATACCACAAACGCGTTCGCAAGTCATCTTGTTCCTGGATTGCGCAGCAGGATTGTAGGAGCAAGAGCTCACATGTCCGCCCAAACCCCAGGACAACGCTTCCCGCATGCTGACGGTACAACATCCTGGGGTGTAATATACGACGATGCGTTTGACTACATCACTCAGATACCGCCAGCTTCAGGCGACGCCAAAGGGGATTTGATGATTGGAGGTGGCTTCAAGCGATCTTTGAAGCAAGGCATTGACCAAGTCGGTCTTTACGACGACGGTTCCGTGCTTGACCCTTTGACGATCACACACATTGCAGGTATATTCCCAGCGATATTTCATCCAAAATGGGGTGCGGGGAGCGAGCTGAAGCAGGTGTGGCCTGGGATCATCGGTCTAACTGGTGATTCTCTGCCCTTTGTGGGTCCGTTGAACGCGAAGTTGACGGGACGCCACATCAAGAATCGAAAAGGAATGTTAGATGGCGATCATAAATGTGGAGAGTGGATCGCAGCAGGGTTTTGTGGAGAAGGTATGGTATGGGCCTGGCTTTCTGGCGCGGCGCTTGGTATAATGATTGCTGGAACTGAAGAGGATGACTTGCCTGAAGATCTGGGTAGGCCGGGTGGAAAATTAGCAGAATGGTTCCCGCGCGAGCTTTTGGTTTCGGATGCGAGATTGCGTAGTGCTAACATCAGTAACTTGGCAAATTAGTTGACGTCTAGAACGGGCAAGTCAGCTGCCGTGCAATCCTATCAAGTTTGATGTCGATATTGGATGGGTTTAACAACGTAGTGAGTCTTATTGCCATGGATGAATCTGGCTCGGCGTAATAATCGATCAAGTTTGTCTGAAAGCATACTTAAGAGCCGCTATTAAATTTTGGCATGCAAGGATACTCGTACAAACTTGGCAAATGTGCTAGAATGGGCTTCAAGAAGCCTTCATGTTATAACATAGTGGCATGGCAAGCTATCGGATTTTAAAGATACTTACAGCACGTGACTAGCGACACAGGATGTAAGCTGTGGGGACCTTGAGATCATCAAGGCGCCTTTTCTTCCAGAACATGTAGCAGAGATATGTCACCAGTTGGTTTTGTTCGATAGTACCTCGTATTAAAACTCAAAGCTTGTTTCCTCCACTGCACTATCGCACATTTTCTTACGATATTCCTAGAAACTACATGAGAGATTGAGTTTTTCTAAATTCTTTGTCTAAATCAACTTGTATTCTAGCATGAGTTCAAATATGAAGCGCTAATTGAACAATGGCTCAACCAATTAGCCAGCCAACTGGTCAGGTCATTTTTGAATCAAACTTCCGGTAGTCTCTTGCACCTTTGACCCATTGAAGCTTACTAGCTAATCCAGACGAATTTGAAACCAGAATCAGTTTTTTTTTTGGATGTTGGTAGTGACCAGGAACGATTTGGGATATATTTGGTACTCAGCGCGCTCAAAATCCATTGGAGGGCCTCTTGCTCAGTATAAACAAGCATTGATTTGAGCCGATAATAGGACAAGTCTGAACGCCTCTCACAACATTCCCACGGCTTTCTTGCTATCATACTCTGATATGGATAAAAATGAAATTGTCAACAAAGATATTTTTTTTCGTTCACACTATGTGTGCAACAGACGTTGCTAATGTATTCAACTACAAACAGAAAAAAAATATAGTAAACCACTCCCCAAGTTATTCTTCTAAGAAAGATAGTTATTAACAGTATATTTTGAACCAAGTTGCTCTTCGCTAGACGTATGAGCTGCCATCTAGCTTATACTTGATGACAGAATCATCTGTTCAGAAGCACCTAGCTCTTGGATCATATCATTTACGTCCTGCAACCTAGTACCCAGTCAATAATTGTAGAGTAAAAACACCAACGATCCCAAGACAACTCAATACTCACATAAAGATGTGGTGGCTTTGAGATCGACATCAACCCATTGCTGATTATATCAAGCGACTTGAGCTGCTTGTGTCATGTCAAGACGGCATTTCTATCTCGTATCTGCGAACAAACATGGAAGTTTATCGAGAAGACAGTTCATTACAGGAACAGTGCATCCGTCACCTCAGCAGGTCGAATCGGTTGGGAAGGCCAAGTTGTGCGAGTATCATGTCGAACAGGTATCGTCATAGAACATATTTACATTCTCTATAATAATGTCATATCGAGAAGGGAGGGCAAAGAAGCTCTAACCCTCGCAAATTCATTCAAATTCTCCTCAGCAACAGCAGGGGATGGAGAAAAAGATATCTATATACAGACCCCCGCTGTTGCTACCTTACTCCCTTACGTACCCCCACGACCACTTAACCATCCTAGCAAGTGAAGGTAGGTGGGCCAGGGTTAACGTAGCTAGTAGGAATGGGGTAGTTGATGTTGATCAAGATACCGGGGTCAGTAGCGCTGTAGGCGCCTGGGAAGGCGACAAGGTTCCTGGGCGACGTGTTGCCGCCACCAGTGACCTCGATCTGAGCGCAGGAGAGGTAGAATTGCGCGCCACCCCTTTGGCCAGCGGTGTGGATGGCAATGTGCTCGTTGCGCATGAGGTACTTGCCGGCGGGGATGCACTGGGGGATCTTGATGTCATAGTTGGCGGCGGCTGTAGGAGAGAAGATTGTTAGTGGGTGGGGGGGGAGGATTCAGTGATGGCGAAAGGGAGGTAAATGACTTACCCAACCAGGTCAGCTGGCTGCCAAACTTGGGCTGCTCGGCGTAGATGCGGAACCAGACTGCGCCAGTGGGGTCCCAGGTGTTGATGTCTGCACCTGCGGGGACCTTGGCGAGGTAAGACTGGAATGGGCCTGGGTGGTAGGCGTTGGGGTTGACGCTGACTTTGACGCTGGAACCAGCGGCGACGGTCATGGTGGCAGTGCCGGGCTTCAGCTGGTTGCAGCGGATGTCGTTGCTGGTGACATCGCCGACGAAGCCATTGTCCTGCCAGTTCTTGGCTTGACGGACGTGAGACCACGGTACACCGCCGTTGATGCTGGGGAGAGTGTCTTGTAGGAGAAATCAGTTGAGATTAGGTTGGAGAGTGGGAAATGCTAGTAGGCATACAGTGAGCGCTGGCCAGAGAGGCGACAGCGAGGATAACGGCGGAAACCTTCATCTTTGCAGGAAAAGTCTCTGTTTTATACTGCAGATCAAAAGAGACAGATGAAGAGTTGTGATTCTGTTTCACTGTCTACCAGGCTCTCTATACTTATACCCGATACCATGGCATTGTAACGCTGCCTAAATGTAACACAGCCTTCGGCAATACCATCGCTTAGAACCAAAGCCGCGACAAGGAGCCGAAGATTGAGGGCAGTGGAATGGCGAGCACCGCCATCCAAGGCGGCGTGATGCGTGGCATAGATTGCTGGATATGAAGACAATCTGTTTGGGTTGGCGAGACTCTACAGGTGATACGGCACTAGAGACGGATGTCGTTTCCGCATGAAGAGCGGAGCCAATCAGGCCAATAAGAAGCAAGAATAATTTAGATTGCCTACGTCAGGCCTATAGGCGCCATAATATACCACGACAGGAAGTGCGATCACACAGCCAGCACAATATTAATGTCTCTCCACTTGAACCCCCGATGTGGTGGGTCCTCGAGTGGAAGCCTCTATCGACACCAATGGAATAGCACGTCTTGGTAGTGTCATGGATTCATTAATCAAGTCTGTGGCTAAAGGTTTTCGGCCTTGGTCACTTGCCGAAATGGTCGCGCCAAGGATGCCCGTTTTTTTTCGAGCATGGTGAACTCACAAACTAGTAAGACGTCGCGGCTTGGCTGCTGGCCCGACCCCGAGGAACCTCGTGGCCCACTGACAAATCCAGCCTCGCGTCCAACATTCCCATCTCCCGGTTAAACATGTTTCACGCATCCGGCCTCGATTCCAGATCCTCCACCTGCTTTTTGGTCTCATACTTGCCCGCATCTGCACCGGTAGCAATCGCCAAATCCTCATCCGCGGCAGCATCAAAGTCCTTGCCCCTATACTCGGGCCCAATTGCGGTCAGCAAAATAACATATGCATACACACACCCCATGAAGATACAGATGACCAGTCCGTATTTGTACCGCGAGACTTTGCCCTTTGGTGGCAGAGGGAACTTCTCACCAATCGTTGCTTCAATGGTAGATGAAGCAGAGGAAGCGAGATTGCCAAGCTGGTAACTAGTTCCCACGACAAACGTGCGGAAGGAGCCCGGCGAAAGTTCCATGAGATGGATTGGGATGACCCCCCACGCGCCTTGGACGCAGAATTGCTGGAAAAAGGCTGCGGCAATGACAGCATCACTCGAGGTGAAGGTATAGGGATAGAGCAGCGCCCCGCCGAGGAAGCACATGACAATGATACTGATGCGACGGCCGAAAATGGACGAACAGTATCCGACAAGTGTGCCGCCAGTCATAGCCCCTAGGTTGGCTACGACTTGGGTGACGGTCACCTGGTTTGCTGAGAAGTTGTATTGGTTCTTCAACATGGTCGGGTAAAGATCCTGGCTGCCATGGGACATGAAATTAAAGCCGGCCATGAGGAGCACAAGATAGACGAGTAGCAGCCAGTGCCTCTTGAGGGCCACCTTGCCCTCGTCAACAAACGTCTTGGCCGCACTGGGTTGTTCTTCGCGGATACGCTGACGTTCGCGATAGGCGTTCGTCTCTGGAAGGCACAGACGGAAGATGATGATAAGAACCGGAGGCCCCGCACCGAACCAGAACAGAGGGCGCCACCCATGACCGACGGTATCAACAAAGGCACGTGCAAAGACTGTGGCAAGTAGATAACCGAATGCGTAGCCTTGCTGCAGGATACCAGACATGAGTCCACGAGCTTGTTCAGGACAGTCTTCGAGAGCTGTTCAGAGGTCAGATTCCTGATTGGGTACGTGTATGTACATGCGAAGCAAGAAGAGAAAGAAGAGCTGACGTACCAGTTGCAGCGGCGTTACCATACAATCCACCCATAGCAATTCCAAACAAGGCGCGTACGCCCAGGAATTCCTTGTACGTCGAACAAAAGCCCGTGCCAAGTTCAAGGATAATGAACAAGAGGTTGTTGATAACAAACGGCCACTTCCTTCCATAGCGATCAGCAGCCAAGCCGAAGATGATGCTGCCCACGCTTCTCAGCATAAGGACTAGCGTAATGCCCCACGTGATGTCGGCTTGGGTCTTGCCAAACGTCTCGGCGAGGTTTTCAATGGTAAGGGAAACGGTGAAAAAGTCAAAGGCATCCCACGTCCAAGCGAAGAAGGCAACAAGAAAGAATAGCCATTGCTGGACGTTGAGCATGCGAAGCAGGGCGATGGGATTTGCAACCTTGTCGTGCGCGGGCTTGAGTGTCGGAATACGCGTTGCCACATAGCGGGCAGCCGTCATGGTGGGAGCGGGTTCCATATACTCGTGCTGCTCAGCGTCTTCGTACTTGGTGTCTGCCATGGCAGTCAAGTTGCTTGGGGAATGAGAATCAGACGGACTGGCCGACCAGTTGTACTCATGAGGCAGCACCGGCGCCCGTCAGGCAACCCTTTATACATGGCCTGACGTCGTGACGAGCATGCCTCGCTGCCCCCGATGCGATGGCCGACAAGTAAGCAGTGTGCAGTCCATGCGTGCGCGGTCCATTGACACATGACGTGCCCGCAACCCCGCATTGCCCGCTCCCGTCCAGTGAATGTTTGCGGAGAGGCCGTTAGGGCCGATGAGCTGCGCGGCTCAATACTGCGCTAGGTGTCATCCGGCCGTCGCACGACTTGTCAAGACATGCTAAGCGTTATCAAGACTTGCTTAGCCTTGCCCCCTCGAGAAAAAACCGGGGCCCAACACATGTCGCCAAGCTCTGTCACAAAGCTTGTTGGTTGCCATCTTGACCGAAGGCGCCAGATCAGGCTCCGCGTGCGAAAAAGACCCGCATTCTCGTCCTAGAATGGCCGCAAACTTCGTATTTCCGCAGTGCTGGAGAAAGAGATGCACGTCAGACCTTCCTGCTGGTAATCTGAAGATTTTTGATTCCCAACGCCCTTTTCATGTAGTAGTATGTATGCGCATACGCACTCGTCTACTTTATACTCGTAAACTCAAAACGCCGTGTCGTCCAATGCCATGCTAGAAACGCCTTTGCTCATGTTGTACGATCCAAATTCTTAGCGGCAAAATCCTCGTCACGCCCGGCTGGAAACAGCGCGTGAGCTCTCCGCCGAACTACCCCATTCCTCGGTTAACCGCTCCATCTCCGTCATCCGAAGCGCCTCCTCGACGCTGTGTACAAAGTGTCTTTTCCCACCACACATTTCGATAATGCCGCTCTTGTCGAAGAGCTTGTAAACCGCGCTCGACTCTCTGGGTACTCTGCAGAAAAACACCCTAACCCCCCGGTTTCTATACGACTCTACAATCTCAGCAAGCACCTGCGCGCCAGCTCCGTCAAGCGACGTAACGCCATGTACATCGAAAATAATATTCTTATTGTTTTCCGCATGTCGAACCCGCGGCAAGGCTGGGTGCGCTCTCGCTGTGCCGTGGTCTTCTAGGCGGCGAAGACGCGTCTTGAGGTTGCCCGTATTGGCAAATGTCAGGGGTTCTGGAATCTTGACAATAAGACATCCCTCGATAAACTCAACATCTCCCGGGGCTTGCTCTGCGTTGGAAAATTGGTTGGTTGTTCCAGGCACACGACCGAGAATTTGAATTCGTGGGCGCACCGAATGGCGGATGAGGCGCAGGATGGACAGACCAATACCAACGCCGATACCGCGCTTCAGATCCCAAATGATGGTGATGACAAAGATGAGCCCCATGAGGATCAGTTCAGACCAGCCTTGAATCTTCAAGAAGAACTTGATGTCGTGCGGTGCTTCCTCAACAAGCGAGTATGCAACAACCGAAACCATGGCGCAAAGTACGCCCTTTGGCAAGTAGTAAAAGTAAGGCAGCATGAATACAGTGCAAAGAATGGTGATGATGGAGAGCAGTACAGAGCTCATGGGCGTCAAACCACCCGTCGAGGCATTGACTTTGGACCGGCCATAGCCACCAAAGGCGGGAAGAGCCATGAAGAGTCCACCAGTGATGTTGGCAGTTCCCAATGCGATGAGCTCCCGGTTTGCGCTGAGTGGCATCTGTACCCCTTCCTTGTTCTGCTCGCCGCTGCCCAACGACTTTGCTGCAACAGATGATTCAAAGAAACCCAGCATAGCAATGATGAGGGCCGTGTTGATGGCGTCCGATACATACTTCAGATGCGACGTGTCGAAGGGAAAGTGGACTGAGAAGAGCTTTGCACTCGAGTTTACTTCGCCAAGAACCGCGAGCCCTTGCTCATCAAGTCGATATCTCCAGGTAATGATGGTAGCAAGCACAACAACTGCAAAGCGGTCCGGGATGTATGCGACATTGGGGTAACGTGGCTGCAGTCGCTTCTTGAACTCTCTGGGAAAGTGTGAGCAGGAATAATCAGAAAGAGACATTCACCAGACGTCTGGCGTGGAACAACATACCTGAAGAACATAATAATAGCAAACGCAGTAAATGATACGGCACACGTAAGACCGTGGGCATTGCCAACATTGCGGACGAGAAATAGAAACTTGTCCAAGCAGCTTCCGTGAGATACTTGGTCAGCAGCAAGTCTGGCCAGTCCCATCTGAGGGATAAGTTGGTCAATGAAGATGACTACACCAATAGCGCTGATGAAGCCACGCAAGAAGGGCCTGCTCAGGACGTTATCCAAAAAGCCAAGTCTGAAGAAGCCGCCAATGAGAATGAATGCGCCAGCCATGCACGTGACAATGCCAGCAATCTCGGCATTGCGCCTGCCGTCATTGTCGTCTGTAGTGCCCTTTTTGATGTTCTCACGCACAATTTCGCCAACGAGGAGCGAGCCCGGTGCTTCTGGGCCTACAACCATCTGTGGACAGGTGCCTAGTATGGCGTAGATGAGCGGGTTGAACGCAAAGCTGTAAAGACCGTGTACGGGGGGCAGATGGGCGAGATTCGAGGCGTACGAGAGCGCCATGGGAATGTAGAAGGAAGCCATGGTGATAGCCGCGACAAGATCGCCCTTCAAGTAGCGCCATTTGTACTGCTGGGTCCAATTGAGAATGGGGATGTAGTACTTGAGGTACATCATGCGCTTGTTCTTGATGCCATGGCGTTCGGCAAGCCATCGCGTGGTGCTCATCTGTTTGCCGCTGGCCTTGTTGGTGACGCTATCGGCAATGGCGTCGCCCAGCAGCGCATGTGCGGCGTCTGGTGCCTCGCCCTCGAGCGTCTCGCGTATACCAGGAAAGGCGCCGCCAAAGCTCTGCTCCGAGTGCACGCTGCCTGCAAAGCTACCATAGCTGCGATGTGTCGCTGGCCTACCAGTGCCTGCGTCATGTTGTTGATGGTTCAGCAGGCGAGTGCGCACAGTGGGTTCGAGGTCGATCTCTATGATACCGCCGGACGGGCCAACATTCTCGTGGGTCGAGTGCGCAGACAGGGCATCTGCTGTGGGTTGTATGCCGTCGACTCCAAAGTCGAGATGAGGCAGAGTGTCACTAGCCTCGGCGAGAGGCTCTTCATCGTCGTCGTAGTAATGTCGACGGTGCATTGCCTCGTCTGGCGAAGTGGACGGGTCCGAAGGCACATGGGCCTGTCGCAGCTGGCTAGGCGTTGCAGGCGCATGGGCATGGCGGGCGCTTGCATTCGACGAGTCTCGCGAATGTGAGGCTGTGGCATGCGGGCGACTGCTGTCGTCTGGGGTGGCTGGTTTGGGTGGCATTCTCGATGGCCTTGGTGTTGATGTTGGTAGTGCTGTTGTTGTTGCTGATGACGTCGCCGTCCTCGTTCTCTTCTTCTCGTTGTTCCTCCTCTTCTGTTAGAGTCCGTCGTCTCGAAGCGGGCGACTGTTCCAAGCAGTAATCATAATTCGCGCTTCCGTTCCAAGTTCCGCGCGAGCATGAGCATGGACGTGGAGCTGTTGGTGTATCATGGGCAATGGTTTTTCCGGTGCGGATGGAACGCCGTTCTCGTTGGTCTGTTCACCCCCACACCCGGCCTTGTCTTCCCCCCCGTTCTCGGAGCTCGAAATTTGGGCGCCGGGCAAAACAGAACATGGAGTCATAAGTGGGCTGCTTTAGTCCGGCCCTACCTGCTCCACACTCCGAAGTCCGTCGCATTGTCTTTTATAAGACGGTTGGCTTGCAATTGAAAACCACTACCACAACAATAACAGTCACCACCTCCAAAATGACATTCCCAACCCTCCACGCCCGCGCAGAGGCCAAGCCACTCGAGCACCGCTCATGCCTCACGCCCACCACAGCCAAGAAGCTGCTCGATGCCGGCTACCCTGTCCTCGTCGAGCGTTCACCCAAGGACCCCAACTACGCCCGCATCTTCGCCGACGAAGAGTTTGAGCAAGCCGGCGCAACACTGATTGAAGAGGGCGCATACAAGACAGCGCCCAAGGACCACATCATCCTTGGTCTCAAGGAACTGCCAGAGGACTCATTCCCTCTTGAGCATACATTCGTCCACTTTGCACACTGCTACAAGCAACAAGGCGGCTGGGAGAACGTCCTCGCTCGCTTCCCCCGCGGCGGTGGCACTCTCTACGATCTCGAGTTTCTGCAGGACGAGTCGGGCAGGCGTGTGGCTGCCTTTGGATACCATGCTGGCTTTGTTGGCGCCGCCCTTGCTATCAAGACGTGGGCATGGCAGCTCACCCACCCCAATGGCGAGCCCCTCCCCGGCCTCGATGCATTCACCGACGGCCGCGGCTACTACAACAACGAGGGTGAACTGATCGCTCAGCTCAAGGACGATGTCGCCGCCGGTGAGAAGGTTGCAGGCCGCAAGCCCAGCAGCTTGGTTCTTGGTGCTCTGGGTCGCTGCGGCTCGGGTGCTGTTGACCTTCTCGAAAAGATTGGCTGCTCAGAAGTCAAGAAGTGGGATCTGGCCGAGACCAAGGAGCGCGACGGCCCCTACCCAGAGATTGTCGAGTCGGACATCTTCGTCAACTGCATCTACCTCTCCAAGCCCATTCCTCCCTTTGTCTCCAAGGAGAGCCTTAAGTCGTCAAACCGCAAGCTAAGCGTCGTATGCGATGTCTCCTGCGACACCACCAACCCCCACAACCCCATCCCTATCTACGACATCAACACAACTTTTGACAAGCCCACGGTTGAAGTGTCCGTCGAAGGCAACGGCCCTAGACTCTCCGTCATCTCCATTGACCATCTCCCATCCGCGCTTCCCCGCGAGTCGTCAGAAGCCTTCAGCAATGCCCTATTGCCTAGCTTGATGGCTCTCAAGGACCGTGCCACAACTCCCGTATGGCAAGGCGCTGAGAAGCTTTTCCAGGAAAAGGTACAGACGTTGCCAGGTGGTGTCCCCAAGAAAGAGGTATAGAGCTGCCCATTGGCAGGATGATGATACCCTGCTCAAATGATGTTATGATTCACACACGATAGATAAAAGTAACTGAATGAAGTGCACAGTGGCCATGTCGTCACAGCTTTGTGCGCAATTTCTTATTTCTTGAAACCCATGTGCACATTTGCCTTATTCTCTATCCCCTTGGCATAGAGCATGGATATATGAGCTGCTACCGGCTTTCAATTGATTTTGAATCAAACGACTGAGATAATTTCAAAAATTGAGAACTTGGTCCAATTCTTATCTAACAGCAAGATATGATATACTGTCATCCCCTATCGACCATCCCTATCTGCCATCGCTGCACTGGGACCAAAACCACGCTGCGCAGCAGCAACTGGAAAACAGGCATAGTCCGTTATGCCCAAGGTATAAACAAAAGAACGAAAAGGATTGGGGGTCCTTGAACCCCAGGATATCTGCACCAGAACTAACCCAGTAACTGCGTCCCTCTTCATCGCTTCATATATCGCCTCTATCTCCGATGACCTCCCTTTCCTTCTACCGATGCAACGCCCAATCATGCAAAGCCTCCGCCTTGGTCAACTTCCTCTCCGCCTTTTCCGCCGGTGTCTCGGTAGCTTTTGTGGTTGGCGTTTTTGTCTTTGTCGCCTTGCTATCCCGCTTTGACGGGAGCAGCGACCTCAGAAGCGATTTCGTACTCGTCATTGTCGACGATGATTTTATCGACATTGTATCTTTTTCCGGTGTAGATGTGGATGTTGATCGCGTAGTAGACGACATGTTGAGTATTGTGAATTCCGTGTTTCGATATTTAGAAATCGTTGATGTAATCGTGGAATGCGTATCCTTTGAATTGACAATGAAGTAGATGTATCGTAGCTTTGATAATGATGATGATGATGATGAGGATGATGTTCCAATTGATTTGATGCCTCAACTCCTAGATTACATCCCCTAATCTTTATACCTTTTCTCCAACCCTCAGCTTAGCAATACAACCCTCAATGACCAATTCAACAGCATCGCACTACACCGCGCTGCGCCCATACACCGACTCATGCGCACCTCCTCCGCCCCAGGCTCCCAGGGCATTCTCCCCAATGTCTGCGCACGACAAGACGGTTGAGTCATCTAGTGGCGGTTCTACACATGTCGAAGCAAAGGGCGTAACGCTTGTTTTTGCTGGAAAAGGCTAAGTTTGCATGTTGTGTGGTGTTTGAGTCAAAAAACCGGTGTCACCGGTGGTAGGGATGCGGACTAGTGGTTTCCGCATGCGGACGGCAAAGTGGGTGTGTGGCTTTGTAAGGTGGGTGAGCTTTGTAAGCCTGCACTCGTATTGCCTTCGCATTTGCTATTGCGACATGTGTTTTGCTGTGCCGGTCAGCCGTTGAGGGTGACCGGTGCTGAAATGAAAGGTTTTGCGAATTTAATGGGGTCGGGACTCATATGGTTTCTGCTTGACATGGTTTTTTTTTCCGACGGTTGCTGCGATTCACCTGCGGAATGACACTAGTATTGCAAAGTTCATTTGCGCAACTCAAGGTACTCTGACCCGTCTATATTTGAAGAAGTACATATACACATCTAGTATCGTCTAATACATACAAAAATCTACCACACTCTAAGCCTTCCAGTACTTGCTCGTTGCGTTGGAAGCTCCATACGTCGAGTCGATCTCACCCCACTTGACCTGGCTAAAGGTGACAGTGGGATTCTTGACCTTGGACTGAATGACATCTGGGAAGCCCTCGGTGGCATTGCAAGGACCGCTGGATCCGCTGTCAAGCCACTGCATGCCACTGCTCTTATCCCACCAGATGCTTAGTGCGAGAACCATACCGCGTTCCAGGGCCTCACCCATGGTCTTGTGGCCACCAAGCCTGTTGTAGGCCGAGGTTTTTCCCTGCTTATCGCACCACGCCTGGTCCATGACTGCCTCTTCAGCGGTGAGGTTGCGCATGGCATTTTCAATGACTACGCCGTCTTGCACGTACTTGCGGACAATGGCCTGGAGCACGCCGTCCTTGGCGGGAAACTGGGTGACAACGGTGAACGGCCTGTTGGTATCGACCTTGAGACCTGGTCCGTAGTACTCCTTGTCGTTACGGTGCTTGTATGGGTTGTCACCGCATCCGGCCTTGTCGCAGAGTCCAGCACTGCCGCAGTCATTACCCGTGCATGCAAAGATACCTGGCTTGCCACAGGTATGAGGGGCGATCTGGTTGGCATAGCTGTTGGCCTCCCAGATATCCATTTCGTTGCAGCAGGAGCCCTCCCCATTAGCGTTGGCCTGCGTACAGTCAGTCTTTTGTTCAAAACCAATGAGTAAGCGGACTTACCTCGCCGTTCAAAAATGGTTTGACAAAACACTGGGCGTCGCAGTACCCGCTACCCTGGGGCGCACCTGCGGTGTTGTATTCGGACCGTCCACCATCGGCTTCCATTTCGCTGAGATAGAGAGCACTGTTCATGCCACAAGGTAGCTTCGACATGTCGACGTCGAAGGACAGTTCATTGCCCGTCAATTGCAGCATCTCGTAGTTTTGCTTATCCTCGGCCAGCAGATACACCCTAGGGCTCATGTATTCACCTTTGGGATTGAACATGTCTAGGCGAAGCTTGTCGTTTTCCGTGAAAATTGCTTGTGTGGAGTAATCCTCGATGCCATCAATTACGCAATTCTGAGCGCAAGTCTTCTTGTCTGGGCAAAGCGCCGTATTGAGCGCAGTGTATTCATCACCGCAGCTCACACTCGTGTCGTTTCTGAGATGAATATTGTGGCGTAGTGAGTCAACAACAATGGAAGTGTCTAGCGCCTTGCACCCACCAGCCTTTGTGCATTTCCAAGTCGTCAACTTTGGGTGTACTTCTGGGATAGTTCCTGCTATTTGGGCAGTGGCCAAGCCCAGCAGGGTTGCCGCAACGACTGAAGAAAGTGACATTGTTGAAGCGTTTCAAGAAGGAGTGACTCCGCTGGTTCGAGAAAACAAGTGATTGGGGAATTGTTTCGACTGAATCAAGACCATACTTATACTACTTCGTGAGAGCACGGTCTCGGAGACGCTTCCCGGGACTTCGTGGTCAAATGTGAATATGGACCCGGGATACCACCGAGACCTAGATGGTGAGGTCTCTCGGTGCAACCAGGCGTGATGTTCATTGGCCAAGCGAGTTTGCGAGCCTCATCTTCACACCGTGCGCCGTTTCAGACCGCTGTAGACAAGTTGAAAACTAAAAAGGCGGCCAAGAGATGAGCTTTGTATGCAAAGCCTATTCTCCTAGTTTATAGCGTTAGTAGTGCCTGAATAGATGAATTTTGATTGCGGGGCCCCGCATTGGCGCATCTAGCCCGGATGTTTTCCCGGTCTTTGATTGCGCTTGTTCTGAGATGGGATAGGCCATTCATACACTTTGCCGTTGCGCTGCTAGAAGGATCATTAACAATGCATTTGTGGCGTACAGAGACTTGCTTTTGTGTACTGTCCTGTCGGTAGTTATAAACGTAGTGTCCCTCAATTCTTTTCATCTTGACCAATTCTCCTCTCGAGAATTCACAATTTTTTCTTGACGTGGAACTGGCGCAATTTATTTAACGTACTAACAGAGTTCAATCAGATTAGCAACGTTTACAAACCGTCACGTCTATGCACTGGAAATGTGATCACCAACCGGAACAGGATTCCGAATTTCACGTGTACTCACTTGCACATGCCGAAGTACAGGTGGTAGCGGTTCATGCGACATGTCACCACTCCTGCAGACCCTCGTTCAGAACTTGTTCGCATGACAGGTTTATTCTGATGCAGAAGTGAGGGTTGTGTATATTCACTCTCGTATCACACCCGGCAGCATGGAATTTTCAGGCGTCCATTTCCAGATGACCAATCCGACCCAAACCAAGGCAAAGATCCGAAGCTCAGCATATAATGCATAGAATCCAAGACTTCGTTCTGCAATTCAACCAACATTGTCACCCCGCATGTTTCATGCAACAAGTTCGCCATTTCAGGCAAGAGAAATGTGAAGTGTGCTCATTCTGCGCAGTTATTCCTAGGGTATCGAGATAAGGGCTGGAATTGAGGTAAGGTCGCCATGTGCGATGAAGGCAGAATTCAATGCTAATAATCCACCACCAGGGACCACTAAATGGCGATATGTTCCAGTGGAGATTCGGGACAAGAGTCCACGAATGAAGCGTCAGGTCGCGTCTCGTAGTATGGGTCCAGTTGGCGATCAGTCGTACCCAACAATGATCAGCTCATGCATCTTGTCATTAGTCGGCGACATGAACGTGCAGTAGTAGATATCTTGACAACTTCCCAGTTGCGATAAAGGGTCAATAATAGCTATTGTATGGCTACCCCATCGCGATGCAGTCAAGACCGGGGCGAGACGGGACTGGAAGTTTGGATGATATTAGGCGAGTCACGGCAAGCTGCGTTTATGATTGCCATCGACACAACAGTTGTGCACAGTGACAGTCAGCATGTTTGCCCCCAAACTCCCCTTGGCCAGAATTTGCACCGGTGGACCCTTGGATAGCAACCCAAGCTGTGGCGAGGTCGAGGGCAAAGCTTCGGTGCTCACATTGCCTCGAGTCTCACAACGGGTGAGCGTTTTTTCTCTCTCTCTGGCAGTTGGCATGAAACAGAAGCGGGAGGCGGCACAGAATAGCTACGCGTAATATCATGCTAGCGTCCGACCGTTTGTACTTTTTCTGGACATGTCTCCGCGTCGAGGAATCGAGACATGTGGACCTGCTGGATATGGTGAAACCTCGACGGATGTGGTTTTGCCGCAGTAGAGCCGGGCTAGTCTTGTCGGGTTTCCGTTCGCATGGGTGGTTCAAGACAGGTTTGGCAAACCCGCCCCTGAACGAACCTACGTTGTATACAATCTACGAACTGTAGATACGAAGGATCTACCTTGGGATTCTAGAAAGATTGCGCCATACATATTTGCTAGGGAAAGGAGTGTTGGATCGTGATTGGAGGGTTTGCCATGATTTGATTTACCGGTGTTTGTATACATGCACATGCTGAGTATGTATATGTATATGTAAGGTACATACTGGGTCCTCTGTGTTGACATGCCCTCACGGCAGGTATTGGCAGCAAAACGTGCGGCACAAGGAGAGCCCTACTGAATCTCTAGTTGCCTCAGCAAGGAGATGCCTGCATGTCGCTGCAGGTTGATTTTTGCCAATTGCTGTGCCGTCGTCTGGCGGGGGAGGGCAAAAAACGTGCTCGATGACAGCCGGCTGGTGGAGGGGACCGGAACATGGATACCGTGGTTCCCGTGCATCCCGTACAGTAGACGCAAGGAACGCTCAACAGCCGTCCCCCTCTAGGCCCACTTGACGGTGTAGTCCGCGCTGCATGGCCACCAGCGCCAGCAGATGCAACATGCGCATTCGACGACTGGGTATCCAACGAGCGGCCGGTCAAGGTTGCATGGCGCCGAACGCCGTTCCGCGCAGCGCGGGAGGGTGCGGGGGAGGATATTTTCTCCTAATGGCTGTCTCCTGCGCCACCTCGGAAGGGATACCTAGTCAACAGGAGCAATGAGAGAGCGCAGGCACGCTTCCACACTGTTGCAATGACGAATTTGCCAAAAACAGAGACTCTCGGCACGGCAAAGGCTGCGCTTTTGGACGACAGGTCGAGCATGGACGCGATGACATTGCAACTGTCAGATCGCGATGTGGCTCATGAAGCGGCAACGACGGAGCTGTCCAAGACACGGCAATTGGACACCGTCCCCGGCTTCTCGTTCCTTCGCGAGATAGGAGAGACACAGACAGCATCCATCTTCCTCCCGCTGGGATCGCCTGCCCCTTTGACTTGAGTGGCAACCACCAAGGTCCACGGCAAATCCTTGCCTTCTCTTTTCAGAACCAGCGTCCGTCCCAAACCCGAGCGTCGCCAACTGGTCGGGTTCTTTGCCGCGCCCAGGGCT